CTGGATCCATAGGCCATTATTGTTCCAGCAGGTAGATTGTTTCAATGACTTTTCTGAATGTTACAGCAAGATAGATTTTGGCATTATCCTCTGAATGACATAAATAGATAAGACTTGATGGACTTGGCCATGTTTATTTAACAAGTGGTATATGGAAACTGAAATGGTAGAACAGAGTTCTACTCAGATACTCAGTAAATTAAGAAAAAGCTTGAATGATTTTTGTTGATACTTATGAACAAAGTCCTGCAAGAATTACTTCTGAAAAAAAGGTAGTATTCAGTAGTATTTAAAAATAAATAATGCTTTCTACTTGGAGTTCATGTGCAATTAAAATTTATTAGTTTCTGTTATATTCAAAATGAATGTGATAAAATTATTCTTTCAAATTACTTAGAGAAAAGAATAATCAGGAACGCAACAGAATGCTATTGTACTTTTTGTGCCAAAATTCTGCTTTGCACAATAGAATGCCCAAAATAAAGTTCAGAGAAGTTGATTAACTTGGGACATAAGCTTATTACAATAAAAAATAGAAATTCTGAAAATTAGAATTTATGAATAAATACTCTACCCTTGGTTCTTTTCTAAGAAGGAAAAAATACAAACAAGTTATATGAGTATGTCTTCACACCTGATGGTTTTCTGAAAGATGTCTTGGAACGTCCTGTCTTTCATACTAAAAGCCATGTTTTAAAAAAGCCGAAAGGCTATTTCAGCTCAGGGAAGTATTTAATTCGTTTTCATATTTATTCATCAGCTCTCTGTTAACAGGTGTATGTAGGAGATACTTGTTGTTAGGTTTCTTTTTATCCCTGTTTCCCCCTCCCTTTTCCCTTTTTCCGCCTCGGGAGCTCCCTGTTGTGGATAATATATTCAAATTGTATATATGTAATTGTAAATATATATATTTTTGATAGAATCCTGTTTCGTTCAAACTTCTTTCAGGTTTTTTTTCCTGTGGTTCGTTTTTTTTCTTCCCTCTCTGGGAAGCAGGCCCTGTTGTCAAGTTTTGGAGACTTGTCGGGAAGCCAGTTCAAAACTTGCACAGGCTATTATTAACTTCAATGTTTGCAAAACTAAAGCCAAAACTCATACATGTGAAAGGAATCAGAAAGGAAACAAGATGATAAATAGGAGAGAAAAGAGAAATTATGTTTGTTACTATGCAATTACTCTTACACATGGAGAAATAAGGGATCTGGTTTGCTTATATTCCTCCAATTAAATGGGAGATGCTCAAAGTCTGAACTATAAAATACATGTATATATCAAAGGCTCTTCTGCTTTCTTTTGTAATTCAATCTTGCTGTGCTACTGCTGTAAACATATACATGGGTTATCTGTACCTATTGAGCCATAGGCATTTTCAAAGTTTGTCTCATGAGCCTCTCAGTTTTGACTTTTAATTTAACAGCCATGTGCTATGTTTTGTGGCCAAAGATAAGTAACAAGTTCAGAAGTGTCCTTCTCACAATAATTTTCTGCAAGGCTTCCTAAAAGTTGTATGTCTCTTAGGAAAGCACCCTGAAGTGTCTCTGTGCCCCTCTGATTCTACTCTTGAAGTTAAGAAGGCAAGGCCAATGCTCTACAGCCAACTCAGATGTATTTTACTGGACACCTTATTTGTTGTAAATCTCAGGGTTTGTTTAGTTCTTCGTTCCCTGAAACTTGCTGCAACTATCCCTCAGTCTCTTGTGAAAGTCACCACAGGGAGACATCCTTATCTTCTGCCAACTTGCTTTCTTCTCATCCACCCACTCACACTAAAATTATATGTTTCCATACTTCATCCAGTTCTTCTGTCCAGAATTAACTGAAATATTGGTTATCTAAGGAAATTCACAGCATACTGTGAATAATTTTCAATTAACGGCCTGCAGACCATATCAGGACAAACTAGATCAGCACACAGTGGAGGAGGTCTGTGGCAAGATCAATGAGTTTAAGAAAATTTGCTCTGCAGGACCTCAAGTGCAGAGCAAAAAATGAACATCCTGCATTTCCAGCAGTGTTAAGTTCAGAGAACCCCAGAGAACCCCAGTTTTACACACAAAATGTTACAGATAATATTAAATAACTCAAACAAAGCATTGGGCTAAGCTGCCTATCAAGCATCTGTATCTGAGAAAGCCCAGATGTAGCCAACACTGGAGGCAGAAGCATTGTACAATTTGTATATACACATCCACTCAGACAACACATACTGAGAGTGAACTCTTAGGGGATGTATAAAGGGAAAAGGCATTTAGGTATCTATAGGTGATTTCTTATGTTAGTGTTTGGTTAGCTTATTACATTCATAATAGTTTAAAAATTTTAAAGAGTTAGAAAAAGTGCTGGAACTCACAGACTTGACTAGAAAAAGAGGAGTACAGCAAAGAAATCTGTTTTCCAAAGCTGTTCTTTTGATTTGGCATAGATGAATATAATTTTAAACTGATTGTAGTCATAGTTATAGTAATATACACAACTATATATTTTTTTCAATTTTTTGAGAAGGTAAAATACCTTAAAAAAAGAAGAAAGAATTCAGTGAAAATCTCCTCACCTTTTACAACTTAAAACAACTTTTAAAGGAGGTGGATAGTTATAATACTGAAAAAACCTCACTACATCCATTATATAAGAGAACATATATAAGATCTGCTCTATTGATCATCACAAATTATGGATCAGATTGATTCTGAACACAAAAACAACACTGTATATATATATACATACATATATATATAGTGGTAGGTTTTTAGAGAAAGGAAGAAAAAATGTTGCTGAAATGGAAATAAGGGAAAAATAAAGGAATGTATGGATTAAGTACTTCCTATCCCTTCAGCAGGTGTCGAACATAGAAACACTGACTTAAGTCCAGGGGCAACTCAAGAATTAGCCACAGTTCAGGCATTACAAAGGAAGAAGAGTCCAATCTGCCAGCAGGATCTTACCTTTTGATTCCACATTTTTTTTCATCAACTACAATGGAAAAAAGATGTGAAAAGTCTCTGAAGCTATCCTCCTGCTATCAGGAGCAGTGAAAATGCATCCTACTAGGCATTGAGATTAGTAAAATGTTTTGTTGGGTTTCTTTTTCTATGAAGAAAAGTAAAGTATGTATGTAGAGTTTATACTCAAGCAAACCAATCATTCCAAGCATGTTTTAAGGATATTTTTAACAAGATTTGTTCATACAAAAGTGAGGTTGCCTTGGCAACTGTAACTATAGAAAGGCAGAGTAATTACTTTCACAAATCCTTCCTAGTACTTTCTCCTCTTAATAGGGATGTGTAAATACCTTGTTTTAAGCTACATTTACCTGAAATATTACTCATCATTGTTTCTATCCTTGAGGCATGAGAATCCTACAGTATGTGCTTAAAGCAGGTTTAATAGTACAAAACCAATTTCCAAATGCTTACTTCAATTAAAAAATGAACGTCAGATCATGCATATCTGCTCTTGAAGTGAATATTTGAAAAGAATCCAACATTCTGTTTTCATATTGCAAGATCTCACTGAATAAACAGTACCATGTATTCAACTGTCTTCAAACATAAAAACAGTTCACTTTTGTGAACAGCAGGAATAAGGAATTAAGCTGCAACTTAAAATACCTAAACTATACTCATGTAAACAGATCTACTGCATTATTGCACCGCTCTGTGTTGCACACTATGGACTTACCTGTGTGTCTGAAACAACTTTGTTCATCTCTTCATTATGTGGTAAAAATGTATTTTGATTTCCCTGACATAGTGTTTGAGCTCCATTATCAGTGATGTTTAGCATAGTTCTACTAACCCCTAGGCTTGTCATTTAATAACTTATCCAATTTTGATTCTGTGCTTGTTAAAACAGATGATGACCATTTAGGCTTGATTCCTTCCTATGGCCTTCCTGGACTGATTTTGCCACAGACCTCCCTCTCAGGTCATGCTGTTCAGCTTTGGCTTACCGATGCCATAGAATACATCGGCCACAGGAATGTCTTCTTGCACCAAACTAGGGAAGGCAATTAACAGTAGCTTGAAAATTGACTATTTTCATTCATTATCAGAAGAGTAATCTTTTCTCCAGGTCTGCTTCCTGCCTTTATGAATGCTGTTCTGAGTTATGGTTGCAAACCACACTTTAGGAAAGTCAGTTATAATGTGTAACTGCAACACATAGACTCTTTTCTTGTATATGATTCTGTAACTTAAAACATATCTAAAAAACACAGCACCCTGTAATAATACTGAGAGTACTTTTATCTGTTCAAATGTCACTAAGCTGCACAATACTACAAGTGATCAAGGACAGATTTCACTCTAGATGCCACTAGAAATCAGGGAAGCCAATATCTTCCAGGATGCACATGAAATTTTTTTTCTGCTCCTGTAGTTTTGTAAGGTGTCAGAAATCACATACATTTAGTTATGTTACATCATCATCATCATTGTCATCATTCCGAGCAGTTTTGGTATTTTTCAAATACCATGTCAGTCTGACTGGGAGAGTAGCAGCATTTAGAAAAATGGGTATCAAATATGTGTTCAGCATCTGTTTTCTAGTGATTCTCAGGCTTAGGTTAATGTCCTCTAAATAATTAGTACAATTATTAAAAATTTTTACTCATCTTCAGTGATTACACAGAGACCTTGCTTCAGTGCTGTGTGTTTTCAATGTTGTAATAGTATCGAGGCACTCAAAAATTATATTCAGAAACTTTAATTGTCCACTAGCTTCTCAGTGATTAACAGCAAAACTACTTCAAAAAATAGCTTCAGAAGATGCATGCACTAAATAAAATAATGTATCAAATCTTGAATTTTGAACTCAAAGGAGATGGGAAAATTTAACAGACATATCTATGATGTCTGTTGTAGGCTAAATTAAATATAGCCCTTTAACCTGTGTTCAGTCATCCTAGTTTGTATTTATCTTTTATGTAGCTATGAATAATCTGAAGTCTTTCCCCACAATACTCAAGGAAAGACATACACTGCCCTGTACTCCTGATTTACCTTTTGATCAATATATTTGTTTTCTTCAATTGCCGATCTTTTAGAGTGGTCGCACGAGGAAGAAGATGCTGAAGGAAGTCTTCGCAGCAAACAGCTGGTATCTTGTTGCTGACGATCAATAAACTGCTTCATAAAACTTTCCCTTGTGAACAAAGAAGATATTGATGCATTAAAACCCCAGGAAGAGTTAATATTTGGTTTTCCATATGATGTCACAACCCACTAGTGCTAAGATGGATAAACTTCGGAGAAAAAGTTGTACTGGACTATAGATTTATAAATGAACAGAGTGCCAGAACAACTGATAATACTTCATTTATTAAAGAAATCCACAAGTGAATTGAGAGGTAGGTCACTTGTGTGTACATTCAAGGAAAATAATTATATTGCTTTTATTATTTATTTATTTACCAATATAAATGCTAAATATTTCAAGTGCCTTTTGCAGTTTTCAGCTCTTTTGAGCTCATTAAACAGCAAGTTGTTACTTGACTGTAAATCAAATTGTGATATAACCCAAAGGAAACATACTCTCTGTGTGAAATTCTTTCTTGAAGATTTCAAACAACATCTGTTCATATAACTGCTTTGAATGCCAGTATTAGGGTGCTTCAGCAATTCTGTGCCTCACATATGTCATGTTTAAAATGCAGAAGCATTTCTGTTTACAACAAATGTACATTCATTTTGCTGTACTTTAAGTTCAGTAGAGTTGCCTCTTTTCAGTGTAAACTGACTATGTCAAAACTAATTTTACTCTGGAGAGATATTTCTATATGGTGCAATAACTTCAGATTTAAAGATATGATTTGCTAGTGCTACTTTGAAGTCTGTTTCAGTAGTTAGTATGATTACGAAGTAGTATAGAGTACGTTAGGGAAAACAAAGCTGGAAAGAAATACCCAAAAAAGACTAAGACTAGTAGAAGAATGCCCTCCATATATAAACAAAGAGTATTTTGATACTAAAAGCAAAATATCTGTGATTGCTTCCTTGAGGTTTTTCCTCAAGGTGTTTTTCCTGACTCTTCCTTTCATTCAGCTAAGATACTACAAACAGGACAAACCAGTTGCCTTACCTTTCTTGTGACTTTAATCAAAACAAATGTAATCTCAGGAGACTCAGAAAGATGGCAGCAATCTTTCACATCATCCTTTCTCCCAGCATGTAATTATTGAGGATATTAGAATGGGCATGGCCAGAGGACCTGTTTAGCCAGCCTGTGCTGTTTCAACAAACTTTGCAGCCTGTATATGCTAGAGCAGTCCTTTATGTAAGCTTTTTTTGACTTCAAGCAAAAATAATTGTACTGTAACTGAATGGTTTGGGTTGGAAGGGAGTTTAAAGATCATCTTGTTCCATCTCCCTGCCATGGGCAGGGACACCTTCCACTAGACCAGGCTGCTCAGAGCACCATTAAACCTGACCTTCAACACTTCCAAGGATGGGGCATCCAAAACTTCTCTGGGCAAACTGTTCTAGTGCCTCGCCACCCTCACAGTAAAAGAATCATCTAATAGATAACTGAGGGTCTGATCCTTTGTTAAGGTGAGTCTTATAGAAAAGTGATAACTATGCAAATACAAAGAAGGGATGAGGTCATCACAAAGTAACTGGTATTGGATGGTCTATGTTATCCCCTCTAATATTTGCTGCCAATTCACCCTATCTCTAAAAACCTCCTAGTTGTCTAAAAACCAACTGCTAGTTGTTCATGTGAGCAAGAATCTAAAATCCAAATGGGAGCGGAGAAACAACACACTTTTCAATTATATTGTACTTGTGTCAGTTTTGGTCAGTCTAGCTGCTTGTTGTCAGGAGTGCTAGGATTTTTTTCTCCCCAAACGTAAAAAAAGATAAACCCAAAATGTCACATCTTTTGAATGCCTATGTTAATTCTATTTAATTTCTGATTTTCTGAACTATCTGACTAACCCACAAGAAAAAATGTTAAATATTTTGGGTGCTATGTGGCCCCAGAAAAGTTTACAGCATAGTAGCAAAGGAAATATTTCAATACCTTATTTTTGGAACTGTGAAATCTGAAGGAAGCTTGGAGATTTTCACCATTTGTGGCCTGTTTGGAAATTTTTCAAAGATGCGTAGACGCAATGGAAGCTTCTCCTTTGTGTCTGCATTAGCTTCACTTTGCTTTAGCTGAAAACAGGGAAATAAAACAAATGACATAAAGAGAAATTTTACTCCATAATATACCACTCTTATTTTTCAGAATCCAAATAATAATGGCAATCATTTTAAGAAACAGAAGATGGCAGCAAAGACCTGTGGAGGGTAAATTTGATATACGAGTTTTTTGGTCTTCTTGTGCTGGAAAAAGACAAATACATAACAATACCATGCTTTTAACTGAAAGACACAAAATGTGAGGATTGTAAATAATTTTAATTTTAAAATACAAAGCATATTAGTGTCCTATTCAATATGCCTATTTCTACATTTTCTTCACAGATCCCTAACACTTTATCAAGCAAATAAACACGCATGATCTTTTCTTATTAGGCATATCTTTTTGTATACGCTGACAGCTCTTTGATATTCAAGGACAACACAGCACTTTAAAAGGCAGAAATTTTAAAGGAATCCAGCTCTCAGAATACAAAAATAACAGGAAAATCACATTTAGATGAGTATTATAAGCAATAATAAAGAACTCAAAAGAATCCATCTACATCAGCAATACTGAGCTGCAGCACATCACATAAAAAATTTCGGATTTGTAACTATCCACAAACAGGTATTCCATGGAACATCACACATCCAAGTACAGAAAAGGCAGATGCATCTATCTATGTGGACAGATGATGGCTAAATCAAATGATATAAGATAAAAAAGATATGCTACAGACATATGATTCCTGAATTCTGACTACCTTATGTAGCAATTCAGTTGTGTCATTTCAACAAAATACCATGTCAAAAAGAAGCAGTGAAATTAATTTTCACATTTATTTTAAACTGTATGTGTATTGTATGCTATTTCAACAAGAATATATCTAAATGAAATTTCAATTCTCCTTTTCACCCCTGCTTGTGAGCAAAGGATTAGAAGCTTATATTTTAGCAGAGATTTTCACCATCAGCACCCTGCAGAAAATACTGCTGATAGACATCAGCTATAGATTTTTACCAGGGGCAATTGCCCAGAAAGTTGAACAGAGTTTTAACTCTCATTTGCCCTGCCTACCGAAATGCATGCTCCCACAGCATGCTATAGAAGAACAACCGCTCTGCTGCACTGTCATGCTATCAGCAACATCATCACTTCCAGCCACAGGACAGCTTAAAATGAAAATCAATTCATATTTGGTTGGATGCAAGTTGTCATGTAGCTGAAAACTGAAGAGCTACAAAGACTAATTAATGGTGAAGCACTGAGTCAGAATAAAAGGGGAATATTGCATATATCTGTATTGTGTCCAGTCCTGTTTCATTGCTTTATTAATGATCCTTAAAAGGAATAAATGATGACATTAACACCCACTTGGTATTAAAATGTGAAGAGTTACAAATACCATGTTGGACAAGGAAAAGGATGAATTTAGAAACAGCGTCAGGAAGTAACAGACTGAAAAAATTCTAGATAAAGAATAGGAGCAGAAGCTAAACAAGAATTGAACTTCCATATAGCATCAAAAGGTCAATTTGGGCACCAATTACATTACCTGCCAAAGGCTATACTCACAACCAAGCTCTGTTGGGTAGATATTACAGAGGTATGAAAAATGGTACAGAAGTCCACAGCTCCTCTCTGTGCTGCTTTAAAGAGACCATATCAGGGTATGCATAAATTTCTAAATACCATTTTACCATTTTCATACTCACAAGCCAAAATAGTGCTGAAGAGAGGCACGAAAACCAGGAGAGTGCTACATAAACTAATTGGGGCAAGGGAGAAAAAAGGAGAGAAAAACTATTTATAAAATTTATTCCACATCTGCAATAATGGATAATAAAGTAAGGGCAGGGGAGATGTAAATTTATATAAGAAATATTTGAAAACAAATTATTTCAAGAATATAACAGTGTATACCCAACAAAGGAATGAGAGGATGAAATTTAGAAAGAGAATTTCTAGGATGAGAATAAAGATTTCTAGTCTTATGGGGAAATCTCTGAGTGTTCAGACAGATCTCTGGAGGGGAGTGCCTCATCATTTCAAATTCAGACCACTCAGAACCCCCGAAATGCCAGAGTATTGCTGCAAGAAATCACTCACAAGGAAACCAGGCTTCTCTGCAAAACTGTACTGTTGAAAAGCTTAAGGAAGGGACTATTTCTAGAAGAAAAAAAAAAGGTTTCCAGTTTCTGACACTTGATTTTTTAATAAGAAGACACTGCATAAATATGCGTATTTTGGCATGGACAATGTCACTTACAGCTATGAACTCCTGTTTGCAGAAGTCAGTGTATATAGAACAGAGACCATTGCAATGTTGTCTGAAGTCTTAGTGCAGAACAGATCAGGGAGAACTTGAAAGCAGGAAACTGTGTAGTTCAAAAGGTAAACAAGGCAACAGGAGAATGATTCAAGATAGGCTTTAAAATAACTTAAAGTCAAAGCAGTTCTATAGAATATCTCCAATTACTCATGCTGTGATAATATTACATATTGGGGAGCATGAGGCATTTAGCTTCACTAAGTTCTTCTCCATGCACTTAAGGTGTAATTATTGCTCCACATGACATACATCCAGTTTTGTATTGCTGCTTAAAACCTTTATATTTCAACTTTCTTTAACACATAACAATCACATATTTTTAAAGGTACAGGATTATGGTGAAATGAGGTTATGATAGTGCATATGATAGTGCAGAGTTTCTAGTAACAGCTAGACCCAAATAACCCAATAAACACATACAAAATATTAGGACATTTTTCTCTATGATTTTTAGGTTTTATTTATTACTCTTCCTATTGGTACACTGGCCTGATTTGCTCTGCATGGCCCTCAATCTCCAGCCCCAAGAGCCTACTGGGAATGGTTCAACAATATTTTGTCATCCTGGCCTGGCTGAATTCTCTTGTGGATGGTGGAAAAGATCTACGTCTGTAAAGCCATTGAAGGAATTTGTGTCTATGTCTGCTACTGCCATGATGCTTGAGTTTGGAGGAGCAGATTTAGTGGCACACACATATAGTAAAACTGTCTGCTCTAAACCTGTACCCAAATAGTACATAAATGGTGAGGAGTGTCAGAGAGGATATTTTAATTTAGGATTCCTGTGGTCATTTGAACAAGTGTCTAAAAACCAAGTTCTCCCTGATCTGTTCACATAATTGTCTCAGATCAATACAAAAGACAGCTGTGAGAAAGGTAGACTTACAGGAATAAGAAGATTTGTACTATTTGTCTCTCACAGAAAGGCATTATGGGCATGTCTCCATTTGGTCTGGAGCAGTTTGAAGTTTGAATCATCAGCATGTGTTTTCTGGTTCAGTTTATGAGCTGTGTTGGTAAGTAAACCAGATTCTTCTTGGAGGAAACAAAACCACAGGCTCCAGCTTGGTTACATAAAAAATGCAGTCCAGGCTTAAGGATCACAACCAGTGGCTGGTCCTTAGGGTGGCCTTGAACTCCATGTGTGATGGGGCACATAGTCCAATGTGAGACTGAATCTGTTCTGAAGCAAACCTCTCTGACCTGCACACTGTACACGCAGCAGCCGCAGCAACTGCTTTGTTGTGCCAATTCTCTCCGATGGCACAGCCCAGGTCTTACATAGTACAGTCTCATCCACATTAGTCATTGCAGCTTCAGTTGTAAATTTTTTTGTGACTTCAAGGCTTGCTTACAAAAACATGATTACCAAAATCAGCTTTAGTATAATCAACATCTTAGCCCTTAAAAATTAAAAGAATCTGTAAGTGGTTGTCCTAAATACACACAGTATGATGAATGGTGGTGAAAGTGGAAGACCGGGAAAGGCAGAGTGCAATAAAAGAGACAGCAGGTAATGACTGTCAATGAGGAAAAGGGTCAGGATTATCTTTTTTGCACAGAGGTACCCTGGCTGTGGTCAGACAATTGTGCTAGGATGGTCTGAAAAGCAATCACTGCCCTGCTGGAGAGAGTATCCTTTCTGTAATGAAGCCAGTGTCTCCTGTGTAATCACACTAGTCCTACCAGGTCAGAAAAGCCACAGCACCAGACTATTCACACACCATCCCACCTCTGCCAGGTACTAAAGCATTCTCATCTATGTATCACAAATGTATTACAGTACTTGAACCACCCAGTATACACTGTTATCTAGAACTTTGAGAGTAAGGTAATAAATGATGGTTCTTACTTTTTTTTATCTTAAAACATTGTAGCACTATAGTCACCCAGATAGCAATCACTGTAAATGTGGTCAAGGTGAAATTAGTGAGTTCTCTTAAAGTGCATATTGCAATACCTTTGATAGCAGTGAGTGGAGTTGCTGAAAAATCACTAAAGAATTGGAATGAGACAAGAAGCAGGACCTGATTAGGAGAGATGCATTTCCCCAGTCTTTCCCTGTGTTCAGCAGAAGAGACATGCGCAGTGAATTTCAGATCTTCAGGTGAATGTAGGGCAGTATCACATATGCCCTCCAGCTGACATCCTCTTCTGTGGAAGCAGGATGTGAGAAATGTCTGCACATGCAAAAGTCTCATGATGGACTCAGGTGGGAGCTGACAGACTGAAAGGTAGAAGTGCTTCAGGGTCTGGTAATATGAACAAGATCACTTGGACAGTTCAAAGGGTAAACTAAGGTCAGTAACTCTCAATATCACCAATTTGCATTTAGAGACAGAAACATCCTCAAAAGTATTGATCTGGGCAAAAGAAACCAAAAGCTCAAATTTAACATAGTCATCGAGTCTCTAAGATATTGACAGTTTGGTGAGAAACAGAATTAACCATATCCAAAGGGATAAGACCTACCATTCCTAACTTTTTGTTTTGTTCTGTATTCATTTAGTTCTGATAATGGAAGAAGAGCCAGTAATGTGCAAAACTCAAAGAGTGACAGATGTAGTTTTCAGATGGTGGCAAATGTATGTGAAATTCACTTAAACGCTCTGTAAATATTTCAATGAAATCAAATGATTATAAAAATTTGCAGCAATACTCTAACTCTTTCATTTTAGTTGACAGTTTTCAAAACAG